TCTAAATGCTCTAAAAGAGCACAGAATGTCATGATTTCAACTCCCTGCCTCATCTGCTTTCAGCCATCTGCAAGCGCTTTTGGCCACGCCTACTTCTCCGCTCTGCACGGTGAACAGCTGATCAGCTGCAGCAGGAAGTTTATCCTGCAGTATGGGCTGCACAAGGGTGCAGGAGGTGCTAAATAATTTTAAATCATTTATTTTAAATAAAAATTCCATGCTGATCATGCGGCTCATCCATCAATCAGCCAATTGTATGTCATGTCCAATCTAATTTTGAAAAACTGCGATAGAGCGAGTCCGCGAGGGACTACTGTACATGACACACGATTGTCAAATTTAATATTACTCGTGAAAAACAAAACAAAATTTTTTAAAAATGCTTGGGACAGGTGCTGTCATTTTATAGTTTTGCACTGTAACGCAAGTCAAAGGAACTACATGGCCCAGAAACCAACAGAGCTTGCGGCCACTGCTTTCTTCCGAAATTCAAAGAACAGCAATGGACGGAGCAAACACTAGCGGAGAAACTAAACCAAATTAACTTCAGACATGCGAACCAAACCAAACCGAACTTAACTGAACCAAACATACTTTGGACAGGAGCCACCATTTTCTAGTTTTCTTTCAATAAGCCTATACGGTAACGCAAGTCAAAAGAACTACACAGCCCAGAAGCTAACAGTGCTTCTGGCCGCTGTTTTCTGCTGAACTTCAAAGAACAGTTATGAAGGGAGCAAACACTAGCAGAGAAACCGATGTAGTAAAAATAGTTTTGCAACGCAAAGTCAGAAGTAACGATCTATGCATTAAGCTCACAGAACTGGCAGGAAAGTCGCAAATAATCCTGAAGCTGAACTCATCCTTCAAGTTGTAGTACCTTCACTGGTGAGTACCTATAGAACATTTTGCAGTATGCACTGTACAGTACATATACATATGTTGTTAAAATTACGTAGGTTTAAGAGTTTAGAACATTATTAAGAACACTGCAAGAGTGTGGGAAGTAAATAAAGCTTTAAATATATTCAAGGATTCAAGGTTTTTTATTGTCATTCTCATCACATGTGGTACAAGAGGTGGAACAAAACTATGCACATGGGGTCACAGTTACATCCAACAAAAATACAAATTGTACAGAGAAACAGTAGTAAGACCCAAGACATGAATCAAGAAATACACTAAACTAAAACTACACTAAATTAAGAATACACTAAAACTAAGAATACACTAAACTAAATGTTTATACACTAAGCATTAACAGTACAAAACAATGTGCCAAACAACAGCAGCACGAACATGAGTCTGTGTGAGCAGATGAGGACGAATGAAAACAACAGCATGAAATATATATAAATACTCAAATAAATATACCGTTCCTACTTTGTGGTTTTTCACCTATATTGTGTTGGTGTCTGAAACGTAACCCCCGCGATAATCGAGGAACGAATGCGTACAATAAGAAAACATATGAGTAGCTGCAAATGATTTCTTTATTTTTGCCTGTTCCGGTATATTTTGATGGCAAACAGGTTTGATGATACTTAAATTGTTGCAGTTTGAATCAGCAAAGTTCTTCTGGCACAGAGACCATTCGTAAAAAGGGACAATCCAATTTGCCAGACCTCCTCTCTGCTTTCATACACATTGCATGCTGACCTCTGGAAGACCCCTCAATCCTGGGATTAGAGAGCGTGATCTCCCCTCTTCAAAGCCCCTTTAGCTCCTTTTCTATTCTACTTTATCTTTGGGGGGGGCTTTTAGGATAGATGGTTTCCTTATCTGTAGAGTAAATCCACTGGTAAACAATGCAGTTCCTCTGCTGGAGGTGACCAAACGCCGCTGAGAGCAAAGGCCAGGAGGCTCTTCAGGGTTAAACAGCAAGGAGGGGCCCGCTTAATTAGAGGATTAAACTGGGGCAATGTTTGTTCTTATACAGCCAGGTCCAGAGTTGTGTGTGCACTAAAAAAAGGGGGAGGAAGTGGGTGTGGTGAGTTTTTTGTGCTAGTTGGGATCATGCTGCAGCCTTTAATCCTGATTAACACATCAGGAAAAGTTGACCCTTGGTGACCTGGGCACCAGGCTGTTTGCCGACAATCATCCTAATCCCAATCCTTATTCATTTGAATGGAAGGTCAATCTGGTTGTTGGTTTCATGGTAGGATCAAAAAGTCAGGGTTTCAGACCTTGTCATTACAATAGTTGGGAGATTCTTTCATTCCATATTTTGTTATTATAGTTAAACAAATTATAGGTAAAAAAAAATGTAAAACTGTAAATTAGGGAAAATTTTATTACCAAGTTAAAAAAAAAGTGCTTCATATAGTATTCTCAAGTGGTGGAGATATGTGTTGGCTGTAGAAACAAAACAGTGACTTCTACATAAAAAAAGCAAACAATCCACCATAAAGGAGAGTAAAAAAGAAAACTGACTCATGCATTACTGTTTTTAAATTTAACATTTAAAAACATTATCTTCTTAGCTGGTATTGAACATGCTTCCAGTGTTCATGTCTGAGTAAATGTTTATTAAACCTTTTGGCAAAAGACTTCCACCTTTCATACATCTAAATGAATTCCTTTTAAAAACAAAAACTGCATTTGAAACAATTGAAAATGTACTCGTTATGTTTTCTTCTGTTTGTATTAATCATTAAAGACACGATTCTTCAAAATGTGCTTAATGAAACATTATAGAAAGACGGGCATTTAATATAGTACTTTAAATTAATCTGTTAGGTTAAAAATAGTGTTTTGAGACAGAAAGGACAAGAACTGAAAAACAGGCAACAACAAAAAAAACTGACACCAAAAGACCACAGAGTAAAACCATAGCAGTATCTAAAAATGTTGAGTTGGGTTCTCTGAACGGATTCTTCTTTGTTTAAAGTCTCCGTGGCCTTCAAACCCCAAAATACATTACATCAAAGACTGGTTCATCCCAAAGATCTGGACCCCCGGCACAGAGTAATATTGTTAAATGCCAGGAGGGCTGCGACCAGTCTTACATCGGGGAAACTAAACAGCCACTGGCCAAAAGGATGGCCCAGCACAGAAGAGCAACATCATCAGGCCAGGACTCTGTCTACACTCATCTCCGGGCCAGCGGTCACTCTTTCAGGGATGAAGATGTTCACATCCTGGACAGAGAGGAACAATGGTTTGAGAGAGAAGTAAAGGAGGCCATCTTTGTGAAGAAAACCTGTCCATCGTTGAACAGGGGAGGAGGCCTCCGTGTCCAATTGTCCACCTCTTATAATGATGTTACTGCTAGTATCACTCAGCCCTCTGTGAATAGCAAGTGGCCATCAGGGCACTAATAATCAATTGTTAGGCTGATGGTCCTCCTTCTACATGTGAACAAGAAGTTTTGGCTGTCATCAGCAAACTGGCTGATCCATAAGGTGCTGCAGACTGAAGAAGTCTTTTGGATAAAAGACAAAACGTTTCAACAAAGAATAATCCATCCAGAGGACCTGACGCAAGATTAGATTTATCTACCTGGATTATTGCACAAAGACATATTAGCAGTAATTCTTGTCATGTGGTGTTGCACTCATTGACAAAATGGCTAAAATTGCTACAGCAGTACAATTAAAAATTCATTTTTATTACCTGATTGCAGGCAGTTATGGTATAAGCTATGCCTGTGCTTGATAGACTGTGCGAGTCTGTTAGCAAAATATCTCATGAAACTCAAACTCAAAATTAAACCACTGAACATATTAACTTTTGGTGCCATCAAGATGGCTGCTACAACTAATCAGACTTGGCTAACACAAACATGGTTAGAAGAATGTCAACATTAAATATATTAATTTAGTATGGCGGTATCTCAGTCATCCAGACACATTCTAAACTAACGGATCGAACAAGGTCTTTTTGCAAAACTTTGGCATCAAGTGTTGTAGTCAGCCATGTTTTTCTGTTATTAGCATATCTCAAAGTACTGAACAGATTTTAATGAAACGCTCAGAAAGTTCTCACTGGAGTAACATCAACGGATTCACTTTTAGAACCAAACCAGTTCAAGATGTGTGTTACAGCTAATCAACCTTTGCAAACACACGTGGCCATAACTCAGTCAATTTGATAGAAACCATGCTATAACTTGGTGTGTTAGTAGATGGGAGTCATCCCCAATTATTTAAGGAAGCAAAGTGGACAAATACATTTTAGTTTTTTTTTTTAATATATTGTAATTAAACTCGATCAATTTGCAATCCATAGAATTATGAACTGCTTTGTTATGCAAATACTAGTGCTTTTTTCCTAAAAAGAAAGTCACTTGATCAATAAGTTGCTGACTGCTGAGACTCTTCTCAAGTTAATCAATAAAAGAACTGTAAACACTTTTGCAATGGCTCTCCAATCATACAAAGTAAATGATCCAGTAAAACTCCCTCTGGCAACTTCATAATGCATGTTTTACAAGCAAATATGTTGCTCATCTTGTGCCTTTACTGAAGCATACACAAATCTATACTCACAATCAGTGTGCAACTTTCTATTATTTATCAGAGCTGTGATGTAGATCAATAAAGAGGTAAGAGAATTAAGTGAAAATCTACTTTCTGGTTGTTATTTTAAACCGCTGCCAAATGTGGCCGTTTACACAGAAACAATTTGTAATAATGGCTCAGTCGGTTGCTGCACTGAATAGGTTGACTTCAAAAGGTTACACATTTTGTACCCAAACCTGACTCACAAACACGAGACTAGTGCGTTAAAACCTGTGGAACATACGGAAACAGGCTGATCATCTGTGTTCACACTGTTGTATGTCCACAGAAGACAGAGTCGTTCTCTTCGTTTGTTGAACAACCAGGAGGAAAGCATCCTGCCTTTATGGCTGACTGAGAGGTTGGTCCTTTATGACACGAGGAGGAAAGTGTTGACTTGGAAGGGGAACGGTGGGGTCTGTGAGAGCAGGAATGCTCCTGAGCAGGGAGTGAATTTAATGTGTAATTTGGACAGCTCACATCTACAAGCAAACTGCTGCCTTCACACACAAAACTATATCTTTGTAGATAAATAAAGAGGTGGAAAAGTTGCAACCGGACTTGGACTTTGAATAAGGCCTAATATAATATATTAGAGGAAAACTTAAGCAAATCTTTTTACTCTCTGAAAAATACACTCGTGAATTGTGGCCAGACGCTGCAAGAAAAGATGCAAATCTACAATAAAATAAAATAAATTAAAATATTTTCAGATAACCCCCCCAAAAAATATGTTTTCAGAGTGACCACCATGAAGTTTTATAATTCTATGTTGCTTTGTGAAAGATTTCCTTGCAGGTTTTGAAGGAACCAACAAACAAATGGGTTCATAATGCAAAATATCACTTCCCTGCTAAAGAAATTCAGCATTTTTCTTTTTTTTTTTTGTTGACACCATCATCCATGCACGTTACCTTATAGATATTGTATTGTAATAAAAGGAAAAGGGATGTTTCTGATTGAGCACGGCAGCTTGAAAGCATCACCCTGGTATTATTTCTGCTGGACTGAAGCCCTGGCAATTTTCTTCCAAAAGGAATGAGGAGGTCTGGTAGAAAAGACGGACATTATCCCGTATCATCAGCAGGTAAAGAGGATAATACGAGGATACTGACCCATTTTAAAAAGCCCTCATATAATCAGGAGTGATTACTAATCTATCCGTTCTTTACTTCTCCTCAGCATACCTTCGTTGGCATTTATTTCCATCTTCCTAACAGCACAACTGATCCTATTTATTGTTATAAAGATGGTAAAAGTCTTACAACGGTAAATACTAAATAAACTTTAGGGAATTTAAAAACTAAAATAAAATGACAAAAAAAAAAAATTTAAATGAATAAAAATAGGCTTTTTGATGGATTATAAATACAAGTTGTGTAAAAACGTGACTTATTTTATGTTATGTTCACATTTCTAAACAAGATTTTAGTGAGTAAAACAAAACAAAAAAATCTATTTGGGCATCTTAGTTTAATTTAATCAGATTATTGCTGTCCAAATGGATTATGTGAACATGCATGAATGATCTTTTATTCCAAATTACACACCTATTATATTTGCAACCATTTATAACACAAATACCCTTTAAATATATTGTTTTTGTTCCCAATAAAGCAACTAAACAAGAAGAAAATGCAAATAAATAGTAAGTTAACTCAAATTATCAATAAACTAAACTTACCTTAAAATCACTTTAGCACATTACATGACTTTGGTCAGTTTGTTAATTAAAGTGTTCCCACACTAATAAATATGCAACTTTGTGTCTCGTTATTGATACTTAAAAGAATGTTTTATTACAAAAAAAGTTTTTTTTTAAATATGGGATGCAAATGTAAGTTATTTATCAATAAAACAAAAAAAATTATACTTAAATAATTGTGTTTTCAGCATTTATATTTAATTCTTTTTCGCAGGTGTTTGATTTATAAATATATTGCCGCTCCTGTGTAACCATCCAGGTATTTATTATGTTTTGTCGCCATCTAGTGGTTGTACTAAGACATCACTTTAAGGTTGAGTTGCAATAATTTAATCTCAACATCCCAAACTTTAAAAAGAAGTTTAATCTGAAACAAATAATTCATACTTACCCGGGGACATTTTGGAAATGAAGGTAAAAGATCAGTAAAGGTGCTCACCTGTTTAATAGGTATGGCCCTTCCACTGCCTATGCTGTCTGTTTTACTGTCAACGCTCTTTGCCTGCTCACTGGCTTTCCGCGACTGCAAAAGAACAAGAGAGTCAGTCAGTAACCGAGAGGACACAGGAGACAGGGCAGTGTGGAAGCTGAGGGTGGGTGTAGTTTTGTTTGTTGGGGGTGTGTGTGGGTGAGACAGATAGACTGGGGGTCAGAAAGGTGAGGGAGAGATTGCGTTTCTGAGCATCTGTAATACTTGTGGTGAAACTCAGCGTCGCCAAAAAAAAAAAAAAAAAAAAGCTCCAAACAAACAAACAAGCAAACCAGCAGAACATTCAGCAATAACATCAACGTGCAAGTTAAAAGGAACAAAATCAAATCAACGACCAAAACAAGACCACACCAGACACATTTCAACACAGAGGAGACCAAAAGGACGACCAAACATTGAGTCATGACTCAGCCCTGAAACCCTTCGGGGGATCCTTTTCCTCTGACACCCAGAGCGGGCCCATAGTGGACCTGCAGGCCAACTGCTGCGCTACCCAGAGAAGCATCAGCTGTGCCTTTCACACAGTCACATTGAATAATCATGGCTTTTTCAGCATAGTAAATATATTTTTATGAAGGAGAGAAAGGAACAGTGGTTATTATGAATAAATCTCAAGTACAAGCAGCTTCCTCCAACGGTTCACCTGCAAAACCTTGTAGGACATAAATCATTTTGCAAATAAAACAATGTCAAAGTCAGAAAAGAAAAAAACTATTAACAGGATATTCTGGTAGAACCTGTGGGTGAAAAAATGTTAAAAATTTAAAAAAGTGCTGTTTAAAAAAAACGCTTCATTTAATTATAACCTTCCCACCCCGACACAAAGAGATGAGATACAGGTAGGGACAAACAAGAGTGTGCATGGTCTCACTCAGAACATGAGAAATGTCCAGTCACCAATGAAGAAGAAATAGAACTGGAGTTCAAGTAAACCAACTCTGACGTTAAGATAGTTTTTCCAACATTTTATTTTTTTTAATGATGACTTGTTTAGCCTCTATACAGACACCATACAAAGCAAGTCACAAATTCACTTCAAAATATTCAACAGATTGAGCCAAACATTGCAGTTCCCACAAAATATAGGATGGACAATAAAGGCATTATTTCATATATTTGTATGTACCTTTTATAGAGTAGCATTGTAAATAAAATACAATACAAGATATACAGCAGTCTATGTTTTCATCAGTCCCTTCAATGGTAGAAAAGCGATTATGCAAGAGTTCATAATCTCCGTACCGAACTGAAAATGCCGAAACAAAAACGAATAAAGAAAATAAACTGAAAACATAAGGTGCAAAAATAAATGAGCAAACAATATAACATTTAACTACATTCATACAAGTCGGTGCAACCGAGTATCATTTGATGGTGACTTTCAGAGTAACATGTCTTTGCAATCTCCCCCAAATTCCTGACAGTCTGTGCTAATTTTTTATGAAGGCCTTCATAAAGTTTCCCCAAAGTTGCTCTAATCTAAAACACCTCAATTTTATCATACATGTACACATTTTCCATTCAGTTCAATACGCCCCGGAAAACATAAATCTTGTGAAATAAGAACCAACTCAACAAAAAGAGAAAAATAAAATAAACAGCTTGGCACCTCTAGTCCTTGAGTCCTCATTTATGAAAAAAAGGCAGTGTGATGTCATGTAAGGAACACGTGTGTCCTTTAGGTGGCTGGATAACAGTTCCAAGAGTGACTTGACTGTACAGTGTGTTTTTGTATGGCAAGTCTGCATGAGTGCACAAGGCAGGGCAGGCAAAAAGGTGGGATGGGGGGGCATTTCCAAAAGAGTCCCTACAGTCTGTCTCTCTAGATGAGATTTAACAGTCTACTTTAAGTACACTCCAATGGACACGACTAGGCTGCGTTAGACGCAAAAGTCCTGTCGTTTCCATGCGCATTACCCTAAATGTGGATAAAGCATTTAGGGTAAAGCAGCAAAGAGCAGTAAGTCCTCCATCAATAATCCCCTCTCTATCAGGTCTGGCAAAGCAGGGGGACTCTTTATTTTTAACCATCATGCTCTTCTAATTCGGAAGGAGTTGGAAAGCCCTTTTTGTTGAAGAAAGGTTGGAAACAGAAGCACAAATCTGTAAATATTAAAAAACAGTGGCAAATGGTTATTTTTTTGTTGTTGTTTAATTATGTTGTATCTCATGTGTAGCGATCCAGTGAGAAAATAAAAGATGAAATGGAGAAAATGCAGAATGGCTGGCACTAAAAAAATGTGTTGATTTCAAAGGAGTGAATGAAGCGGAATGGGTTTAAGTATAAAAAATGGCATATTATTGATCTAAATTTTTAACAGTGTGCTTTTGAACACAAAAAAGGACGGACAAGGTCTGAGGACAACACAAGACCACGGACAGGTTAGAAAAACTTTAGTTTTTGACCATGGAAGCACTAGGAAAGAATAATAATGTGTGCTGCACTGACACCTAGTGGGCGAGAGTAGTTATGGTCAAAACTGGCTTGAGATGATTTGTGATGATAAAACGGAATTGTGAAGGTGGTGAAAAGACAAAGTGAGTAGATTTTTTATGTAAAAGTATAAGATTATTTACTTACTTTAAACAAGAAAAAATACTTTTTTTCTGAACGTGATGGAAGCTGGACCAAATATGTGGGCCTAAAACTGTCTTGCACTCTCAATTATTGTTAACTTAATAAAATGTTCACTGTAATTTTCTTTATTTTGAAGAGTCCCAATGCCAGTGCCATGAATGTGATACACCTTTATCTCATCATTTATAACTGGACTAAACTTATCTACCAGTGACATTAAGGCTTATCTTCTGCCTTTAATATTTTTTTTCAGAATTAACATAAAGTCAACAATCTCTCACCAATTTGCAGGACAGTTAAAGAACTTGTAATATAGGGATCAACTTTTTTTGGGGGGGGGGGTGTGTGTGTGGACATGACTAGGTGACATCCTCGACACTGTCGTGTTGATGAAACTTTATTTTTTTTTTTTGTTGTTCTGTGAAAATGGCAAGAAGATTTCTGTGCTGCAAGTCTTCATCTCTTGAGCCCATCACACTCTTGAAGTGTCAGTGAAGAAACGTCGACATTGCCGAGTTAACTTCCCGTCCTCCTCCTCCTTTCTTCCCGTTACCCTCCCCCTCCTCCCACCCACGGCTCGCCGTTCTTCAGAAGGTCATGAGCTGAAACTCCCGCTCGGCTTGCCACTCCGGCACCCACACTGGGTAGGTGGCGTGCTTCGGTATCTCCATGACGCGGACGGGGAGAGGCTCATTTCTCTGGTGGACATGGTTAGTCACTACCTAGCAGGGGGGGAAGGGAGACAACAAGGGGAGCTAGCACCAGCCTATACTGCTCGGGGGCCACAAAAACATGCGGCTCCCACAGCAGCTGGGGTAAAATGAACAAGGCAATAGGAAAAACAGAAGAAAGGAGGAACAGACAGGAAGAGTTAGCTACAAAGATAAAGGAGTGGCCATAGGTGAGGGTGAGGAAACAGGGTGGGGGAGAGGGGAAACTTTAAAGGTAGGGTAAAGGGTGGAAATACTGGGGTGATAGAAGAAGATATATCTCACATAGCTAGATCTGTCTCATAAAGCTCAAATGTTTTGGAGAAGAAAACAAACATTAGTGCTGGTCCTAAAGAGAGCATTAAGCTATGAATTTGAAAATTTTACAATTTTCTTTAAGATACCAAAAAAAATTCTCTCTTAATAACAGATATGTTGCAAAACAAACTTCTTTTTTTTTTTTTTTTGCTTTGGTTGCACTTGTCATCCATAGGCAAAGTGCTTTAATGGTAAATAATAATAATGAAAAAAACTTTACATAAGTTTTGAAAAGTGGAGACTTTATGTCTGTTTTGTAATGCACATATCTGTGTGTACAGTAGTCCCTCATTTATTGCGGGGTTTCCGTTCTCAACCCCCCCTCCCCCCCATGATAAGTGGAAAACTGCGAAGTAGGAATAGTAGTACAAGTAGTAAGCATACAGGCATTTTAACCCTTTCCACACTCTTGCAATATTTTAAACAATGTTTCTAAACACTAAACGCTCTAAAAGAGCACAGAATGTCATGATCTCTGCTCTCTCTGCCACCTGCTAGTGCTCTCGGCCACGTCCACTTCGCCTCTGCAGAGCGGAGATCATGACATGCTGCAGGAGGAAGCTTCTCCTGCAGCTGTGGGCTGCACACAAGTGAAGCAGGTGCTAAATAGTTTAAAATAATTTATTTAAATTTTTAAAAATCCATGCCAATCGTGCGGCTCATCCTTAAATCAGCCAGTTGTGTCATGTCCAATCTTACTTTGAAAAACTGCAAAAGAGCGAGTCCGCGAAAGTCGAACCCCGAAGTAGCGAGGGACTACTGTACATTGTAAACTATATTTAATCGTATCATGGGTGCTTACTTTTGATGTGCAAATTTTGCATAGATCAGAAATCACAACAACAATGATATAATTTGAACCAGTTTGCCTTCTTTTGTTCAGATTTAGTCATCATTAAACTTTGATCAAGGGCTGAAAATGTTAGTTACAAAGACCCAATGGTAACCAGTGTCAAATAAAAACGAGCCACACTGGTTTTGAGTGAATCTAGCCTGGTTTGATGATTTTTGTCTTCTACAAACTGTGTCATGTCATGTCTACATGTCTTTGAGCATGATGAGGCTCAGATCTGACTGAGCAAGACTGGGAAAGGCTTAGCTTCAAAGAAGCAGGACAGCAAAAAGAGAGCGGTGAAAGTAGAAGAGAAAAAAAGAGGACAGGCAGAAGAAGAGAGCAGAGGCTACAAGTAAAAGACAAGCTCAGGAAAATTAGAGTGGTTAGTGCACATATATGCTACTGGTCAGAGTGGAGGGCAAATATGACAGGACATGAGGGGCAAAGAGCAGGAAAGACAGAGGCTGGGAGACTAGTGTTGTAGCTAATCTTGGTGATTGAAACCAAATGTGGGCTGGAATTAAAATGTGGGGTGGAGGATTGGGGAGCTATCTGGATTCAGCAGGAGGATCAGTGGACATTAGAGCTTTCCTGTCTGAAGATGGGTGGTAGGAGGGTGCAGATGTGCCTTATTAGCAGTGTGTAAACAGGCCACAAGTTGGCTGGGATTTTTAGCTCTGCTTGGTGGGGCAGGAGAAGCTGTGATTTGTTGCTGCCATCTCTCCGCAACAAGGAGGTCACTGAAAAGAAAGAATCTAGCAAAAAATAAGAGGGGTGGGGGATGGGAGGTCAAAGACTTAGAGAGCGCAGAGGGCCTAGTTTGTAATGGGTGAGATGAGAAACTACATCCAATTAGAAAAAAGTATAAATGACATGAATATAAGTGATGTTTAATTCCACAGTGCTTATCTTTGATATTTGCTTCAAGGCTGATTGTTTTTGGAGCATATTGGGAATCTAAAACAATATCTGTAATTCTTTTACTCCTTAGCTCGTGGTGCAGTGTGGACAAGAAGCTGTCTTTGCCTGACTCAGAGGCAGATGAGGTGGCTTTGATGAAATTTTTTTCAGCTACCTGTCTCCCTCTGGTGGTTAAACAGTGAGCCTGGCAACATGTCCTCCTCCTAGTAGTGCGAGTGGGTGTTGCTTTGCATCAGCTGTCGCATACTTACTGTGAAAATGTTGGAGCGGCGCTTCGACTGCTTGCGGATGGGCGTGGGCGTGTTGGAGGCAGCGATGGTCTCGATGCGCATCTCCCGCTGACTTATGCTGGGGGTGGAGGGAACAGAGGAGGAGTAGTCGCTGAACGCACCCCCACCATTGGCTGCCTGGGGAGCGAGAGAGATTAAAGGGAACCGATAGAATCAGAGAAGAGGAGGGAGGAGAGGAGGATTGTAAAAAAAATAGAACAAAATAAAATATGGGAATGAAAGGTCAGTTCAGGATACAGTGATGTGCATATCATCTAAAAAGTGAGCAATCATCATGAGAGCGATTATATAAACGGACTTGTTTTCCCCCTCCATAAAATTGCATGCGATAAGTAAAGTATAATGATACTGTGTGAAGACCTTACCTGGTTAATGTGAACGGAGGGGATGGATGCAGCTGGCACTGATGAGTGGCTGGGAGAGTTAGGGAGGGATTTACAGGGACCAATAGAGAGCTGCTGCTTTTTCCTCATGGCCACAACCTTCTGGGCAACTGGAGGAAAACACAGCAACAGACTGTTAATGGGAGATTTATGCAGCGAGACAGTAAAAGCCAAACATATAGTCAACATGTGCTTCTGTACGTTGTTTTCAATGGAGGACAGCAATCTGCAACAGATCCACTAATTAGATATAATGCTTTTGTTGGATATAAATATAACCGGACTGCATCCAGCTGGGTGATAAATCTAGCAGTAAGTTATTAATCTGGCTTTTATTTTGACTTTTAAAAATCTATTTGCATTTGTGCAAACTCACTTGTCTTCCTTATTTTTTATGTGTTGCACTTGTTTCAGTCAAACTGACTGATGAACAATTACTAGCTCCCTACTGTATATGCTCATAAAACTGGGTTCGGGTCACTTTTTTTGTAATTACTACAATGAACTCAACTCAGCAGAACGGACCCTCGACCTCTGATGAACATTTCTGGGTAATTTCATCATAAGAAATGTATCAATTGTTCATTTCAGCATAGGTCATGCACCTGCAATGATCTCAGGATGATGTATAGTTCACATATCAAGCTTTATTGTGAAAGTGCATGTTTTGTCCCCAATGGTCTCAAATTTTTATCACAATTCCCTATTTTGGGAGAAATGGTGATTAGTAGTTTGATCGATGTTGGAAATATCAAAGAATTTCATTTGTGGATATTAGGATGTGTCACTAAGAGACTCTGTTCCTTCACAAAAGGAGAAGAATGGACACATAGATTTAAAAATGTAAAATTTGTTACAATACAGTGTTTTGAGGCAAAACAGAATGCCGCAACAATCAAGACGGAGCTCTAATGGTTTTATTGCTGCAGTGAAAGCTAGGTAGTGATATAATTGCTTGTGAATGTGTGTTTGTTTGTCTGTCTGTCAGCAGAATATCTCGTGTTTAGCTGTACAGATTTGAATGAAACTCACAGAACGGAATCATTGGGTGTACATCTGCAACTGATTAGCTTTTTTAAATTCAACCTGATTTAAGATGGTTGCCACAGCTATTTGACGTTAGCAAACACAAAAATGGCTATAACTCAGCCAATTCTACAGATACTGAGCTAAAATTTAGTGTGGTAGTAGCTGAGAGACATCTTCCTTGCATATACTGAGCTCTAACAGATCACGTGAGATCTTAGTTTAAAACTTTGGCATGCAAGGTTGGTAATTTGAATGCCTTCAAATAATTTAAATAGTGATTTTGTTTGTGCTGCAGCCCTTAAGTGACTCTTATTTAATGATTCGTGCACCTACTTTTCTATAATTTCCCATAAGCTTCAGAACACGTAAGATTCTGTAAAGAGAGATCTTACATCAGCACTGCTGCCGATGCCATGGTGCATAGGAGCAGTAATTCAAGATGTCAGATGTTGTTTCCTTATTAAGGTAATATAATTAAATGCAAGCTATTTTCAGAATACATCAGGCCACTTATCTTCCAGTCAGAGAATAAATATTGTACGTCCTGTGTATACTTCTACAAAGACAACACTATTTTCAGGAGAAGTTACAATAAAACTAAAAGCTGCAGTTATTTCCAGTGCTTCACTGATCCCTACAGTCTGCTTCTGGCCAAATGAGACCATTGTAACCATGTGAACGGCTCAATTTGCTTTGCAGAATGCGAGACCCCCTATTTAATTCACGGCACACTTGTCTGGGTGAAGTGGGGAGGAGGTGATGTTCACGGCTGTGTGACGTGAATTAGCAATGAGGGAAGAAGAGGGATGATCTGAAGCCGCATCGACAGCTGGGCCCATAACGCCCGACTGCCTGCTGCAGCATGGCAAATACAGAGAGAAGGCAACAGTTATACACAGTGACTTCTTCAGACACCCAGCACTCTTTTAATTATTTCAAATTGGGCTTCAGGAAGCAATTAAGGCAGGAAAGGAAGACAGCATAGCTGTGAAATGTGCAAATGCATTGACAGTTACTGAAATGCACAGTGAACGCTGCGCCACACATTCAGATGCTTTCTGAATGGATGACAGACTTTCAAAGGAGCTGCAGCTTTGGGGGATAATGTGCCAAAGCTGAAGCAACAAAGTTTCCAAATAAGAGTTACTTTATATTAATGTTAAATACCCTGAAAGTAATATCTAGCAACTTTAGAGACATTTTATTTAGCCTAGAGACAACGCATTTCACTTTTTGCTAATACACTCAGTACTATTTTGTCATAATAATCAGTATGTCCCGATGCATGCTCAATAATCCAGGTAGAAAAATCTAAAAAAGTTAAATCTGGTCCTCTGGACATTCAAAAAACAAAACAAAGCAAAAAAAAAAAAAAAGTAGAAACATTTCGTCTTCCATCCGAAAGGCTTCCTCAGTCTGAGGTGCTGTATTCAGCTCAGTCTTATAAATAGCACCTTCTCAGAGTGGATCAACCAGTTTTGTTGCTGACAACCAAAACCAGCTGCTCACATGGTCAAGAAGGACCAATAATAATCAGTATGGCTTTAGAAATAATTGTTCTACATATATGGCTCTCGTGCATCTTAAGAGAAAAGATTTCAACTGCTTTTGAGAAAAATTAATATGCTCCAGGAATTTTCTTAGACTTATCAAAAGCTTTTGACACGTGTGAATTACAAAATCTTATTGTCAAAAATGTCTTGTTATGGTTTTAACAATAAGGTTCTGAAATGGGTTGAAAATTATTTGCACAACAGAGAGCAAATTGTAATTTTTAATGGTATATTGTCACACCAGGATGTTTTAAAATGTGGAGTTCCACAAGGATCCATTTTGGGTCCATTGTTGTTTCTCATTTACATTAATAATCTACCAAAAGCATCTAGTATTTTATCACCTATCTTATTTGCTGATGACACCAATCTTTTTGCTGCTGATGGTGATCTTGACTCACTTACTGATAAGGAAATTATGGGCTCATTTAATTTGCTCAGTGGTTTCAGTTAAATAAACTGTCAATGTTAAAAAATGTAATTTAATCTTATTTAAGAATACGAATTACAATCCTGAAAATACTAAAATTTATATTAACAATTTACTTTCCAGTGCTTCATCAACAAAGTTCTTAGATGTCTATGTTAATGAGAAACTTTGTTTTAAGAATCATTGTGAATCAGTGTAAGAAGATTTCAAAATCTTTAGGTACTATAAAAAAGGTTAAACCCTATTTAAAAACAAATATTTTATTAACCTTGTACAATGGTTTAATTTATCCCCATATTTTATTTTGCAATTTAATTTGGGCTAGTACCTATCCTTCTTACTTACAGTCAATCCATAAACTTCAAAAATCTTTTGTAAGAATTGTCACCATCTCTCCACATTTAGCTCCATCCACACCTCTGTTTAAAAAAATTAAAAATTCTTACAATTTATGACGTGAATAAGTATCAAACAGGAATCTTGATGTATAAAGTTATATGTATTCCATTACCTTTACCTAAATATTTTCATAATTTCTTTGCGTTTAATTCTTATGATCATTCATACTCTACAAAGAGGAGGTATGATTTACATATCCCCTTCTGCAGAATCACTGTTGCTAAATTTTCACTCATGCATCAAGGTGTTTTGCTGTGGAACAGTTTAAAACAACTAAGTGAATCATGTACAGCATTATCTGTATTTAAAAGAAAGTTGAAACAAAGTTTATATCGTTTTTAACACATTTGTTTTATTTTTATTATTATTTTAATATTTTTGGACAATTTAAATTTATTATGAACTATTATCTATTGCTTTGGTGTGTATTTGCGTGTGTTTAAAGTAAAATGTAAGCTTATGTATATAGCTTTTATGATTTTTTTCTTTAATTTTTTAGAAAGGAGGGGAGCCATTAGACCTCTCCTGCACATTTTGCTTTTGATCTTTTCCTTTATGTGTATCATTTCTTTTTTTGTGCAAACAATAAAAACAAAAAACAATACACTAATTTGTCTTTAGTTTAGAATATCACAACTGCTTTCATTATTTTTGCTTTCGTACATAACTGCAGCATTGAAAATCAAATTTGATTAATATTTTATACGACGGCATGCAACGAATAGTGTGGTGACTAAAAAAACAACACTAACATGGCATTTATGGTTTAAAGAAACAAACACACACATTTTAATGTTGCTAATAAAGGTTCTAACGTTTAGTTAGTTTTGTTTTGCAAAATTAAATTTTTCAAGGTCAGTCTATCATGTAGTTTTATCCTGTTCAATGTATTTATGAGCTGAAAAATCAGGAGTACAACAACTGAATCAACTCAAAATTCTGCCAATCTTTATTAGTTCTTATGAATTTGAATAAAATAGAACGATGTTAACAAGACCCAGCATCCACTATGTGCTCCTATCATTAACACAGTATCTGCAGTTTTTTTTTTAAACTAACAAGAATCATGAGGCTTTTCCAAATAATTAATCAGAATGGACATATTTATTCAGAAATTTGACTTGTTCACATGTTTAAATGACAGATTGCAATAAATCTGAGCCTTGAGGATTACAGGATTTATGTGCAGACTTCATACAAACATCATGATCTTGAACGAGTAAATATCTTTAATTGAGTTTTTACTAATTACAACGTAGGATCATTAAAGGATTACAGTTCCTGGTTAAGTTATTATTTTTGGAGAAACCACACCTCGTAACTCCTTTCATACCTATATGTACTCGCTGAAAAGCTCCCTCTTACCGTCCTGGAAGACTCTTTCCACGTTCAGGCCGTAGGTGGAGCAGGTCTCATAGTATGTGCAGCGCTTCAGGTCGTTTGATAGTTTTCTGGCCCGGGCGTCATCGATCACTCTGGGGTTGGCAGCACTGATCGCATCTAACAGAACAAGGCAGGAGAAAAGCATAAATCAAGTTAAGGTGTTAGAACAGAAACATTCAATGTAACGTATTCATAGTTCCAGTATGAAGGGACGTAACATAAAACATGCACATCAGATGTAGGGCACCTTGTGTTCCGACGAGGACCATGGGCACCTCCGCTGTGTTTCTGTAGCTGGAGAGGCGCAAGAAGTAATTGTAGACCGTCTGAAAGCTGATCTCATCCTCCAGGCTAAAGACGAAGACCACAGCATCCACCCAGGCAGCAAACTGAAATCAGGGCAGAGACAGAGGGAACTATTAGCTTCAAGGGAATTCTCAATGAGGCTTCTATGAGTGTGATTCTATGATGAGAAAAACTTAGACAGGCATTAAAAAAACTGAAAGCTTTAAAATGTCCAATTAGTTAAAACATGTTCATACAATTAAAAAGCTAAAAACCTTTTTTTTCGTAAAATGCATGTAAATTTTGACAGTTTAATTTGTACGTCATATTTACAAACAGAAGGGGGCAGTATTGCAACAACCAAAATATACTAGCCCCCTTCTTGTGTGTGTGTGCGTGTGTGTGTGGGTGTGGGGGGGGGGGGGGCAAAATACCCAGAAGAAATAACACAAAATGATTCAACATCACTCCTAAAGCTATACTTGTTTTGTTTTTTTACTTTGCTGTTAACATATCATTGTATCATTGTTTTGCATTGTATACGTTAAGAATCTTTAAGATGTTTACGGTCATTCATACAGGGAAGAAACTTTCCCTCCAATTAAATCTTAATGCACAGAAGTAGCAACAATAACAATCAAACGATAAATCATTTCTCGGCATTATGGTTAATTTTTCTTCTTCAGATTCCACGGTTTCCTATCGACCACAAAGTGAATGGCAAATCAAGCCTTCGAGCCACAACGCCGAGTGGGAACATAATGAAGGCCTTTAATTATGCCACTAATTATACCGGCAGCTGACAACTGAGCCAAACTCATATCTATTCCCTTATCTCAGTGTGCATAATGCAAGTGTAAATCAGAGTTTAGTTGTGGAAAGGCATCAATAGCTGTGAAGAGAGCTGGAAGGTAAATATAGCAGAAAATATGAAAGCTTGTGAATGAAACCAGCAGATCTGGGTTGTCTCCAGGGCGGAGCTCTGATACTTCAGCATCGACTGAGTCCAAGAAATACATTCAAATCTGTTTTTTAAATTACTTAACAAAGCTTCTTTTTTTTTTTTATGCATTTCGTTTCACTTCATTAACCAGCAGACAGTTTTAAAAACCTCCATCTTTATCACTCTTCTGTGATTTTCTGTTCTTCACATATGCTATCTAATAAACTCAGTCCTTAAACATGTCCATTCTCATCACTGCTGCTGCAAATCTTTGTATCTTTATTAGAATCCTTCTGCCTCCTTGTCTTTTCATCTGTTGTCTCTCCTAACCTGTAACTGCTACCCTTCCTGTCTCGTAAACCGTTCTCTTGGATATTTGCAGGTACAGCTCGGTCACAAATCACCCACTTCACTCTGCCTGCATTTTATTCTTCACCTTACCTTTTCAACCCCCTGCGTCATTTGATCCCAGCTATCTAAAAACATCTACCCCCCCCCAATGCATTCCCATAGTTCGTTTGCTATCAGTCTTACTCTTGTACTCTGTTCTGCTCCAACAGTTTCATTATTGCGTTCTCCACACCCACCTCCATACTTTCTGAAATACTGTGGAAAGTGGTACCCTGGATCAAAATGTCAACAAAGATAATTTTTTCTGTGACAAACGTCAGATAATACTGCTTCATAGCTTACTCTAGACAACAACAGTACAAATTCAAGTCATGCACCTTGTGAGCAAAAGCATAATATTGAACAATAATGTGCACACGTTAGCATTATTGTGTCTCCTCCTTGGTTTTAAAAGGTCAAAGTTGGGTGAAATAGTGTAGGACACCTAATGTTTGGTCCATGAACTTCTTTAAAAAAGTAACATGGGTGAAGCCTCTTTGGGGTATCACAAGGACTTGCTAGCTTGTTTTTAACAAGTGAAGTAAACAAGCATAAGTAGGCACAGCTAACCAAAAAAATAGCTTTGCTAACGCTAAACCACTAAACAGGTAAAAAAAAAAAAAATTTGTGGAAGCCAATGCTAACTGATAACTTTTATCATACACAGATGTCTATGACACTAAGACAGTCTGAAACGTGACAACGCTGTAAGTGAACACAACTCACAACAGTTAATAAATCAAAGGTAAAGAGTCCATGTCCCATTCATTAGTTCACCGCAATTAATCCGGTTGAGCAAAATCAAAAGAGGCGGAGCAGAACTCTACTGTGCTGAAGCTGGGTGATGTATTCACTGCGTCTGACATCTCCCTCGTGTCATTTACTATAATGAATAGTTTCACTTTAGCGATTCTCTTTGTGGTAAACTATTTTTTAAATTAAGCACAAAGTTGATGTGCATCTTCATCAATATTATCTCTGTAATAAATGTGTTTGTTGTTTAATTCCAGGAGTGGGCAGTCACAACTAATGTCATCAGTTCATCGGTTGACACAGAGCTCTCCACACGGACAGTGTCTCCACAAACTCAGGAGCCAGGGAGAATTAAAATTCCCACACAAGACAGGCTCTGGAGCAATATGGATATCCTAACTGGGTCCTCCTGAAAGTAGATGAAACCCAGCCAGGACTCCAGCCATCCATCGGATGAAAAGGAGGACCCCAAAACCCAAACACTGACCAGTGGTCGTTCGATATGTTGCAGGAGTTTAGGAGAAACAGAGACGTTAATTTTCTTTTACGTCCCAGTGGCTTTCAAACCCCAAAATACATTAAGGCAAAAAACTGGTTCACCCCAAAGATCTGGTCCCCTGGATGGATGGCCCAGCACAGAAGAGCAATGTCATCAGGCCAGGACTCTGCTGTTTACTCTCATCTGCAGGCCAGTGGTCACCCTTTCAGGGATGAAGATGTGCACATCCTTGATAGAGAGGAATGTTTGTTCAAGAGGAGTGAAGGAAGATATCTTAGTAAAGAGAACATGTCCATCATTAAACAGGGGCAGAGGCCTCCGTGTCCAATTGTCCACCTCTTATAATGCTGTTACTGTTAGTATCACCCAGCCCTGAATAGCAAGCAGCCATCAAGGCACTTACAATCAGTCGTTAGGCTGATGAGTCTCCTTGTGCATGTGAACAACTAGTTTTGGTTGTCACCAGCAAAATGGTTGATCCACTATGAGAAGGTGCTGCTTAAAAGACCGAGTCTGCTTGCAGCTCCTCAGACTGAAGAAGTTTTTTTGGATAAAAAACAAAACTTTTCAACATAGAAGACTCCAGAGGACTTGACAACCTAGTTAGACATGTGCAATGGTTCTGACTTTCCCATGTTTCTAAGTGTGGAAATGTGTAGTTCTTGTTAATGACCTGTTCAGGTTTGGTGTTTATGTTGAAGTCTCTGTGATTGGCTGTAAACTGAGTCCATGAGCAAGGCTGGATTAACCATATGGGCAACTGGGCAAATGTCCAGGGGCCCATGACCATTAAAGGGCCCAGGACAGTGAGGGCACAAGAAAAATATCTGGTTATCTCCCACTTTATGACAAACTGTCAGCCCGAGCCCTTGCACTGCCCAGAGACTGCTGCGCTGCCTGTGACTTTGAACGTGAGTTGAGACCCTCTCCCGCTCAGTGACCACCAAGGAGCTGGACCAAAGGTTCGGTTTGCGCTAGTTTATTTTAAATAAATAATCCATGCCATTCACTCAGGTATTCACCTCACTGAAGATGCCCCATCAACAGCAATGGGAAAGACTGACCCCTTGCCCCCTCCCCTCCCTCCTTCTGAGACCGTCAGTCACAGCAGAGACGACATACCGTACAACAGGTATATTACGGCAATTTATTCTGTATTTTGCCAGATTATGGTGATTCTATGGTCGTGATGATGGGGCCCTTGAAGACTGTTGCCCAGGGTACAGTGAAGTGTTAATCTGGCCCTGTCCATGAGTCAGGGGTTGTTCCTGGTATGGATAGGGGGGATAGTACTGTGAGGATATAAGTTAGTACCCTTACTTAAGGGTGATGTCACTGGGTGACATTTGGCTTTGCCTTGCTATGTTTAGCTTAGCTTTGTTTTTTGTTGTTTTTACCATTGCTTTGTGTGATTAACCATTCTCCTGTATGCCTTTTGCAGGGTGGAGAGAGGTCTTTCAAAAAGTGTTAGAGGTCTTGAAGTTACCAGAACTCAATTTAGAAGAAGCTAATTGGTCCAGTAACAGTTTCCAAAGTTAACAAAAATGCTAATCTGAAAAATAAAAAGTTAGTTCTGCAATTAGCTGTTAGCAGATTAGTGGAACCATGCCCACCACTGTAAACAGATCATATAAAACTTGTGTGTGAGGGACAGGCTGCTTGTACAATGTGTGTAACAAAGCTGAGTGTGTATGAAGTTGTGTGTGGAGGTTCTCCTATGACGAGGATGACAGCTGTGTGTGTGAGAGGGAGTCCTTGTAGCAGGAGGACATGTCTCTAACTGCACTCCACTGAGCAGGCAGAAAAACAGATGGAGAGATGGAAAAAAAAGAGGTTTCAGATAAAGTCTGATGATCGACAAAACATTTTTAATTGGGTTCACCTAATGACCAACACTACGGCGAGGGGAAAAAGTAACCAAGAGTTTCTTGTGGTTCACAGAAATTTCTTAAAAGTCATCCAGAGCATCTACAGCTTCTCATGCAGATCAACCTCTTACATGTCCTCAGATCAAGAAGTAGACAGCCAAAATGCTAAACATTTGTATTTAAAAATGTAACCTATAATGTTTTTATTGTGCATCAGAAGCATAACACTGCTCAAAAATATCTGCAGACAGAAGTTTGATAACTGATTTGAAAATGAAACAAGATTTTTTTTCCCCCCTCAATATTTCAAGTACTCATAGGTTGATTCAGTTTTGTCCATTTTGGCCACAAGATGATTTTGCCTGTGGTGACTTGATGCTTCTTTTTGTATAACAACCCCAGGGTGCTGTCACACTTCTCCAAGCAGTCCTGCTGGGAATTCATGATCCGTCTCAAACAGTTTGTGTCTGCATGACAGCTTGCAGACAGTTTCTGTTCGATAAGTGTTGCGGCTTCAGAGCAAAGAGGCGGTTTGAATAATCTGCACTCCTACCTGCAATTCTGGAGGACCTCCTTCATCTCTGATGAGAAGTAGGTAGCTCTGTCCATCCACCACTATTTCCTTCTTGAACCGTCCACCTAAAGAAGAAATTTTGTACGTGAAAAATTGGAAATTGACTGTTAGGAAGTACAATAGGGTTCCAAAAAAGAAAAGATTGCACATCTGTTTTACACTCAATAACCAAAAGACAAAGAAATAAATAAGCCAAAATTCAACATCAAAACACAGCTTGACATGGCTCATGAAAGTTTAGGAAGATGCTTAAGTTTAAGCACAGTTTCTTGATTTAGACCTCTTGAATGTGGTGTTGTGTGGATCATATGCCGACGGGAAACCGGGTCCCACTGGAGCCAATTATGATGGGGAGAAATTGCCATTAAGCATGTCTAATGTGCAGCTGCTGAAGGAGCCAGCTCATTGCTCCTATTACTGCACTGCTACAAGTCATGGAAAGGCCAAACTTTCACTTTACAAATATTGGTTGCTTATTCGGTCTGAAAACTTCACTGAAAGCGCTTCAATAAATCTGAAGACAACACAACTTATTAGTTCATAATGAAACAGGTAAAACCATCTTAAAGAATATTCAGGACACCGTTATCATAGAGAGGAAATAACATTTGCTTCCCATTCAGCATTGAAGTTGGTCTCCCCTTTTCATTTCTTTTCTGATACAAATGCATTATCCTTGCCGCCAGCAAAGCCGGCTGCAGATAAGAAAGCGGCCAATGGGAGAACCACGCAGAAAATAAGATTGTGCATATCATTTGAATGGTTTTTCGATCCTGCAGAGATTAAAAAGATTCAAATGAGCTAGTTGCAAGGCTAGAGATGTCCTCACATGGGATGAAAATGGTGCCTTTATGAATACAAAAATACGCTGAGAGCTATTTGTCAGAAGTGAATAATGCAGAACTTTGAAAAGGCTTTTTTTCCATCATGAAACATGTCTAAAAATGATGCTGAAGCCAGGTTTTGGAATTCAACAGGCTGAAGCACAGAATTGGAGCTTTTGCTGCTAAACAGACAAATCAAGCGCTAAGGATTTCGCCTTGGAGGAGTAGGACCACATAGTAGCTGGAGGCGATTAAAAAAAAAAGTTAAGAGGACTGTTCCTGTGTCAGCAAGCAGTAGATAACTGCTTGAGCCATATTTCCACTCTTTAAAGCCCACTTTGGACTGATGCACTTTCTTGCAACAGCTCTCAAGCCCCATTTGGATACTGGTTGAGTAACAAAGAGTGTAAAAGATTGATGAAATTCCAGCAAGCTTTTGCTCTGTTTACTTAGTTCACTGAAGTCACACAGTTCTGGGGATCCTCAGACAAAGAAATTAACAGTGATGAATATGCGTGTTTGAATCCTGTTTCAAAAGATGAGAATGTCGTTACAAAGTGGGATCAGAGAGCCAAAGATTTATCGCAGGGCTTGTTTGGACATGGGCAGCATGTATGTACATCCATCTGCCAGAAGAGATTATGAGACTTTCAGAAACTAGTAATGCGACCAAAGCATATGGCTCTGTTAAAAACAGGGAAGGGACTGGAACTAAACATCTTCATTGCATAATCATCCAGAATGCTCTTGTCTTCATTTAGAGCTGAAAGAATAATATGCATCCGAGGAGAAAGCCAGTGTTGTGAGGCAGTGAGACAGACTGTTGCTGCGCTCCTTCTGGCGAGCTGGAACCTAACTCTGAGTTATACAAGTTTATGTTCGAGTTCAACATCACATAAAAACAGGCGACGAACACCCCTGCACACATTGAAACAGTGCGCTGGAAAGCGTGGTTAACACGCAGTAAGCATACTCCGCTTTACACCGAGACTCAGACCTTGACACACAGCCACAATCCGACGGCGCTCCATCCGGCGTTGCCATGGCAACACACCCCAGTAACTCTTTTCAGATATCATAGCAAAAGCGCAGGAAGAAAACCGTGAGAAGCAAAGCTACAGCTGAACCCTCCTCTGCTGCTGGGCGACGCATCTTCAAGTTAAATACTCGAACTGGAGAAAAGCCAGTGATAAAAGCAGAAATGAAACAAAGAAAGCCCTGAGAAGCTGCGGCACACGAGGCGGGTATGTTGTATCACAGCAACCTGCAGCAAGGCGAAAGAGCACACAGACCAGAACCGACATTTTTTACTTCATTACAGCTACAACCCCCATTCTGTTTTTCCCCCCCTGCATTTTCACCATTGATTTCTCAAGGACTAATTAAGCTATGAGAATGTGTTTTGTTTTGTTTTTCATCCCTTGGTGCAGCAAAATGCCAGAAACTAATTATGCGCTTCATGTCTCATCCACACTATAATTACACTAAAACGAAACACTGCAAAAAAAATAAATAAAAAAATAAATAAATACGAAAGATCATCAGTTAACTCTGGGTTTGCCAACATCGTGGTGGATTTTCAAAGGACAGGTCAATTAGAGCAAATGTGGGCATTCTTGCTACCATTTCAGACCGACACTGCAAAATCTGGCTTCAGATTAGGATGGCAACATAAGCTGTCAACGACAACTTTTGAAAAGGATATTGTCGGAGTTAAATGGTGACATCAAAAAGCCAAACAATAGCTAAACAAACAAACCATTTTAATGTAAACTACTGTATTTTCCAGCGAATAAGTCGCATCAGTCAAAAAAACATCATGAAGAGGAAAAAAACACGTATAAGTCGCTTTGGCTTATAAGTTGCATTTATTATGCGTCACCGCTGAACCGTCGTGTTTATTATGCGCTTAATGGTCAAAACAGCTTCATTTCGCCTGGGCGGCGTGGTGCCATCCATCCATCCATCGCAACTGGAGCCGCTAGCTCTCCAGCGTTCTTACACCTGCACCAGCTGAGTGAAGCAAGCGTGCACAGGAGAACTCGCTGTTGCAGTTCTTAGAAATTTAACAAGATTAACACTTAAAAACAATTGTTTGTTTGCTCTGAATTATAGCAAAGGTGTGTCTTAGTTTAGCTTTGCCTTAACAAATGCACTTTAATGATCAAAACAGCTTCATTTCGCCTGGGCGGCATGGCACCATCTATCCATTCATCCATCCATCCATCCATCCATCCATCCATCCATCCATCCATCCAT